TCTTCTGACAGCTGTAACGTGATGACCTGTTGATTTGTTAATCTGAGGGCAGGTGTGTGCACCGAGACTCCTCTCTGTTAACGCGTCACTGTTTTCAGACTGTAGGGCTCTGGCTGACAACTTCTCTTCCCCCTTCTGCCCATGCCAGGCCTGTCCTGCTATTGCCTCTGTCAGAGTCCCCCTACCCCTACTTCCATCCTGCTCCTCCCAGGCCTTGCTTGGTCAGCTCCTCCATTTTGGAAGGTGGAACTAAGGGGACGAGGAGCTCTGGGCCTCCTGGGCCCTTGATGACTGACCTTCCCAGACACAGCCACATAAAAGGGTTGGGGCAGAGAAGGTTCTCTGAAACAGTGCTTGGCAGGGTCCCGAGCCCTCTCAGCTCAACTTGAAACCTGGTAGCAACTCCCAGGGCAGAGTAGAGTGGGTGCTGGAGGGCATCCTGTAGGGAGCAGGAAGGAGGAGGACCTAGGCCTCCCAACCCCTCCCTGGACTTCCGTTGCTGGCAGCGGACATGATGGCCTCTTGGACCACTCCACCACTGTAAGGATGAGCTTTCTGGGAGGGGTCTGCTGAGACTGCCAGCCTAGCCCAGAAAAGGGACCCCCCAGGACCTTCAGAAAAGGTCACGGTCACTCCCCTCAATGGGGAGGGGGAAGGCGGGCTTTGGGGGTGAGTGGGACCTGGCCCAGCCCCTTCCACCAGCAATCTCCCCCAGCCTGATGGCAGCTCCTGACTTTGTCAGCATCGAGGCTTGGGCAAAGGGAAAGACTTTCCCTTCCGGAGAAGGACCTCCCTAGGGGCATGTGGAGAGAGGACAGCAGGATGGCCAGCTGCTGCTCATGGTGCCAAATAACGTGGGGGGGCAAGGGTGGGGCAGGGGCCGGACTCGGAGCCATATACCTCTTGACTGTGTTTGGGCCCTTAGTGACTCCTGTCAGCTCCCTTCCACTTCAGGTCAAGCAGCACTTTACACTCACTCCCTGCTCTTCCCACCACCCTTGTGTCACAGTGGCCACCGGCCCTGGTCAGATGACCTCACCTCCCAGGCCCACTGCCTCCTTTGCTCCAGAGGGCCCAACAGGCCCAAAGACCCCAGTTCTCCACTCTGTGTGAAATGGAGGGAGAGAAGGCCCTCTTCTGGCTTGGCCCTGGCCAAGCTGCAGGGGTGGAGGCCTCATGGGAGTGTCCAGCCTCTTGGCTTGCATAAAGCAAGCAGCAGCCACAGCTCGATTTCAGAATCGCTGAGGGCTCTTGGGAAGGAGGCAACCTCCTCCCCCGGCAATATAGAGAGGGCACTTGTCCTTGCCTGTGTTCCCTCCAAGCCTTGATTTTGTTTTCTGCAGAATGGCTGGAGGGCTTTGTTCTTTTTTTTCCTCTTTTCTCCCCCTGCCCCTCCTTTCCCGTTTATTTATATTTCTGTTGTTTACAAATCTGTGGGCTCCTGAAGGTTAGGCAGGGGCCATGGCTTCTTCTGCCCCCCCTACCCCTGCAAGGTCCATATGTCATGAAGCACATTTGGTTTCCCGCCCTGAGCTGTTCCTGAGGGCCAGACTCAGACTCTCCCCTAAGGACCACACTGTGAAGTGAAAACTGCCTTCAATAGCCCTCGCCGTTATTTATTAAATTTGATTTGAAGTCAAAGACGTTTCCTTCTAGTGTTACTGGGGAAGCCTTGCTGCCTTAGAAAGTGCTGACAGCCCATGCCTTAGCTGTTGTTTGAGCTAAGGTCCTCAATGGAATCAATGGCTGATTCCATTGAGGTGGGCATCAATGAGGGCCTGTGAGTTCAACACTTGGGTTCCATGACTCCAGATAGTCCTGGGTTGGGGTCTAGCAAGCCTGGGGCTTGTCCGCCAACGTAGTTTTCTCATTGATAATTTCGGGGAAGTGTGTGGATAGATAAATTGTTCCTGCCCCATTTTGGAGAAAATCACAGGTGTAGTTTGTAATCTGGGTCCACAAGAGGTTATGTTTCCTAAAGTAACCCTTTGCCATCTGTGAGGATAAGCAGCTACCAAATCTTTTTGCAAGTTATTCCATTAAAAATTAGAAAAAAGCCAAGAAACAATGGGTGTGACTGAGAACAGGGCCAATTAGACAAGCGTTTATTACCAACTGATAGTTTCTGCTTGCTGGGACCAGTAAAGGGAGGGGGAACAGTTCTTGCTGGGACAGTTCTGCTCTATTTCAGGGACCTGGTCCTGGCCCAAAGTAGAAATGTCTTCACATCTCTGACGTTTAGTGGTTCCAAGGTTCTTCAGGGATCAGGGGTTCTAGAATACTTGAGTATCCCGCCAGGCAGCTATGGTTGTATAGGCAACATGGACCAACTTCTGTCACCACCAATGGAATCTGACCCAGAATATGGGTATTTTTAGGCACATTCCACATCATTTCAAATCTTTGGATGTTTTAAATTGAGTTTGATTTACACAATTTCTCAGTTGTACAAGAGCCTGTTTTTCTATATGCAGGATGAGTGCAACCCTCTGGAGATCCATGCAGATAAAATTTATCCAGGGCCCCTTCCTCTGGTTTTAGGAGACTCCTATTGGAAGGAATCTATCTGTTCTGGTGGAAACTAAATTGGTCCATCTCCTGTGTGACAAGTCTCCACCCTACATTCTCCAGAATGAAAATAGGTCAGCAAGCCTTTGGGTCTGTAAATTGAAGGGTTATTTAGCTAATTAATCCTCTAACCACTTACTTAACACCACTACCCCCACCGTGAATGAGGAAAAAATTAGCTTATAACTACATCTTATATTCCAAAGGAAAGTCCCTTCTTAAAGGGAAGAGGAAGTCGACTGAATCAATAAGTTTGAGCCTTCCCTGTGCTAGAGATGTTTCCCTGTTGGGATCCATGACTCCATTCTCCCCATTATAAAATGGAGGTGGAAAAAACGCAACCAAGTTTCTATTCCAAAGGTTGTCATTTATAAAAAGCAGGGAACCCTTAGCTACTGAGACAGCTTACAAGAGCATTCAGAGGTTAGGCAGGTAACTTAGGGAACTCCTTGTAAAGAGGTGTCTAGTCTAAAGGATCTGAGGACTGCATCTAGTGGAGATGAAGGTTATGGTGGTGCCTGGGATTGTTATGAGAGGCAGATGAAATGAAAGAACCGGAGGCATGTGGAAATTCTTTCTCCAACCTAGAAACACAGCCCTCTTCCACTCGTTCAGTCTGCTCCCCTATCGAACTCCCCAATGTAGTCCAAACCCAGTGATTTATAGGTGAGAAAATTGAGGCCCAGGGAATTGAGGAGACGGTGAGCTAAGGTCACTGGGATAGTAGGTGGCAGGGCCAAGATTTGAATCCAGGTTCTCTGACTTCAGGTTTTAGTCCTCTCTCTACTATGCAATGTTGCCTCTCCGTCAGAGCCCTGGGTTGGGAATTGGGAAGATCTATGTGTGAACAGGTCCCTTTGGTTTTCAGTCTCCCCACCCCCATCTTAATGGACTAGTGTTGGACTAACCCAATTTTTAAGGTTCTTTAAATGATTTTGAGGCTCCAGAAGAGTCCTCCATTCCCAGCCTTCTTTCCTGGTCTCAGTAACAGACTAATTAACCCTGAGGGTCCATGAATGAAAAGATCTTTGTTCCAGAGCTATTCAAAACCTCGAGTGTGGGAGAGTGGATTGCTGTCATCTAGATGGAGTAGGGACCTGGATTTTGGATCCCTCAGAACCAAAGGTCAGAACTAGATGGAACTTTAGAACAATTCAACAAGCTAGTTATTAAGTACTTACTAGTTGCAAAATACTAGATTCTGGCTATATAGAAATTAAAAAGAAATCTTTACCCTCAAGGAGCTTGCTGGGGATGATACAGTATGTACATGAGAAATAGGATTCAAGGTACGATGCGTTTCTTAAGGACAAAGGCCCCAACAATGTTCTTCAAAAAAACTGGAGAAGGAAGAGAACGCTTTCTGCTGAGGGAAGAGGGGGAGGAAGTAATGGAAAAGTCTTTATGGAAGTGGTTCCAGAAGTGAACCTTTCAGAATTAATTGGAGAAAGGAGTGACTGAAGGCAGGAAAGCACTTTAACAAATATTATATGCTATGATTATCCCAATTTTACAGTTGAGGAAACTGAGATTAGCAGAAGTTAACGTGACCTGCTGCAAGGTTGCACACAGTTAAGTGTCTGAGGCAGGATTGGAACCTGGCTCTTCCTAACGCCAGGCCCCAGGGTTGTATCTACTGCTTCACCCAACTACCTCTGATTTGAGAAGTGAGTTCAAAGTTACTCTTAGGTTCCAAAATTCCTCCTCTGTTTCTTCTATGAACAAAGGGAAATCGGATTGGGGGCGGGGGGGGGCGAGGGATGACGTCAGATTTGAAGGGACTTGGGCTATGAAAGAATTTGCAGATGGTAAAACAGGCTAGAGGGGAGAAGGGGCTTGCTCAGGAAAACTGGCCAAAATGACCTCTAAATTAAGAGGCAATGGCATAAAAGCCTTGGACGTTTTCAGGAGACTCGGGTCCTTAGTCCCGGCTCTGCCACTAGTACTCCCCATGACCCTGGAGATGTCTGGGTGTCGGTTTCCCCATCTCCAAAACGCAGGGAAGGGAAGGGAACAAGCATTTATACAGCGCCTACAACGCGCCAGGTACTGAGCCAGTCGCGTGACGAAACACTGTCTCATTTATGAGATAGGAGATAGCTGGACGGGGCGGACCTCCGGGGGCGCTTCATAAGGTTGGCTTCCCGGGAACCTGCTTCTTCCTTCTCACCTCGTTTCTTCCTCCTCCTTCTGCCTCCGGGGGCGGGACGGGGCCAGAGTCCAGCCTCCCCGCCTGCTCCACGCCTCTCGGGCGCCCGCCCCATCCCAGCTCCGCTGCCATGTGACCCTGCTCCCTTTCCCTCTCCTCCCCTTGGCCCAGCCTGGCTAGCGTCCCTACCTCCCTCGTTCTACGCAGCTCCGGCCCCCGGCCGAGGAGCCGGAGCCCCCGCCCCGTCAGCGTCCACCTCCCAGGGCAGCGGAGGCGGGTCTCAGCTGCGCTCGGAGTCAGCCGTCCGGGGCCCGGCTGGGACGGGCCGGGCATGGAGAGGAGCAGGGTGTTCGTGGTGCTCGACGTGGTGTGCCTTGTGGTCGGTAAGCCGGGCGTTCCAGCGCCAACCCTTCCTCCTATTACCGGACCCCATCCCCATCCAATTGTGCCCCTCGCCCATCTTCAAGTTGTGCAGGACCCAGCCATCTGAAGGAAATGGAAGAAAGGGCCTTCCTACTTGGACGTCAGTACCAAAAAAGGTGCTCCAAGGGCCCAGATCTGGAAAGGCTGGAGCTGGGGAGCTTAAAGCAACGCCCCCACCCCCGACCCCGCTCCGAGAGTCTGAGGAACGATTCCCCTTTGTAGAAGACCTCTTGGTCGGGGTAGAGTGGAGGGAGAGGGAGGGGAACTACCTCTGGAGCAAACTACATTGTAACCCCAGCTTTGCGCTTGACTCCATGACTTAGGGTTGAGCGCTTGACCCGCTTTCTCTGAGCCTCAGTTTCCCCATCTGTAAAATGAAAGGATTGGATTGCACTGTGTCTTTACAGCTATTATAATCCATAGTTCTATGAGTAAACTCCCACCTATAAAGGGGAATTCCTTCAGAAGAGGAGGAAGTTAGCCCCTCTTCCAACCAGGGTAGGTTGTGCCAGCCCCCCTTCCTCTTGTTTCCCTCCCTGGGGCAATGAATCATAGCAGGCGGGGAGCCCTGATCTGAGAGAGCTCTGTCTGACCAAAGCCTGGCCAGTCCCTGTAGGGAAGGGAGACCTTAGGACTGAACCGGGCAGGGTTGAGATCCCTTGCCCACACACAGCACACACCCAGGACATCGAGCGGGTTGAATGAATGAAATTTCGGGGTCTGGACCTCAAGGTCCTCCCTTCTATACTCATCTAACTTCCGAATTTGGAGGATTACTTTGGGGACTTTTTCTGACCCATCCCTAATCGCAGTCTTAGAAGACTTCATAACATAGAATGTCAGCGCTAAAATGGAGATCGTATAGCCAGCATTTTTGTTCCACTGACAGGAAACCCAGAATTTTAGAGACTTGCCCAAGGTCACACAGGCAGTTAAGCCCAGGACTCCTGATTCCCAGGTCAGGGCTCTGTGGCCTTTTTTGCCAATTCCCAACAAATCTGAACCATCTATCCCCCGTGCACCTGCGCACTGAGACAGACCACAGTCAGTCGAGCTGGCCTAACCTCCTTCCTGGGTTCCTGGTCTGGCCCAGTCCTGCTAGCCTCAGAAATCGCTCCTCTAGGGAGACATAATTGTTGATCGTGTGTGTGGGAGGCTTAGGGGACAGGTATGGGTTAATCAAAGCTCTGAGTGGCTGGGGGAGGGAAGGGGGCAATCTGAGCTGGGACCCTGGCCCCTGCCTATCCCAAACCAGTCTGACTGGTTGGTTTTCCTGGAAGGGGGGTGCTGCTGCTGACAGCCTGAGGGCCCCCTCCAATCCCCTCCCCCAGGGCCCAGACAAAGGACGAGTGTTTACTGTGGGGCAGAAAGACAATAGCCTGGGAGGCTTGGAGCTGTGGGAGCCTGGGCTAAAGGTAGCCCTTTAATGGGGCCTGGGGGAGGGGAATCTGCCAGACCTGGGCTGTCTGGAGCTAATCCCTAATCCATCCCTAATGAGGAGAAGAGAAGGGAGCCGTGGCCCCCTGGATCATGTTAATACCCCCGCTGTTGTATCTCCTTCCCCTGGGGCCCTGCTAGGGGCCACTGCTTCCTTTCCGTAAAATATGAAAGGGAGGGAGAGTTGCATTAGTCTATCTGGTCCAGTAAACCTTTTCCTGCTCTGACATTACCTGGTTCCCCAGAGACAAACATAGAATACTAGACCCTCATTTTTATGGAGGAGAAAAGTGGGATCCAGAGAGGGAGGACGACCTTCCCTTTCGACCCTGTTGTGGATCTGTTCCCCAGCCTTCACAGTAGATCCTTTTTCCCTTACTTCAAACCTGTGAAGTCTGAGAGCCAGCACTTTACCTATGACCCCAGAGGAAAGGGAGGCTGAGGCCTGTGCTTGGGTGAGGCTGTTCCGGTGGGCCCTGCCCTGTCCCACACCTGAAACCAGCAGGGAATGTGCCACCTCTTGGGTTGAGGGCAAAGGGTAGGCAGGGTGCTTCTGGGCATGAGCAGCTAGTGCCGGGAGGGTGAGGGCAGGAAGAACTCTGGGTCAGAAATGAGGAGACCTGGATTCCAGTTTTCCCTTTTACCATTGACTTAATCACCTGTGGCAGGTTCCAATCCTCTCTGGGCCTGATCTGTAAAATGAGAGAGGGTTGGACTCTGTGATCTCTTAAGGGACACCCTCCCCCCAGCTCAGACATTGTGGTTTTTTTGTTTTTTTGTTTTTTTGGCAATTGGGGTTAAGTGACTTGCCCAGGGTCACACAGCTAGTAAGTGTCATTCTGTGGCTTAAGGACCCTCCTGGCTCTGACATTCTGTGTTCTAAGGACTCTGACATTGTATGTTCTAAGGGACCTCCCAGTGTTCTAAAGCCTTCCCAGCTCTGACACTGTTCTGAGGACCCTCCGAGCCCTGACTTATTATTATTTGTCCTTTGTTGTCAAAGAGGACATCAGGAAGATGATGCCACAACTCGAAAGTGAATTGGATTTAAGTGAGGCAGGGCTGTGCAAAGTCACCAGCCTCAGTATTTCCTTCAGAGCCATCTGGGTCCAGTGACAAGATATAGATCAGAACTACTAGAGAAGGCCCTAGATGCATGGGAGACCCCTGGCCTTTTTAAGCTAAGGTCTTTCCCAAGTCTCAGTTTGTCTGAGGCAAAGTCCATTCTTTGATTAAGGCTAAAAAAGGTAAAAAGAGGCAAAGAATGGCCTCTTGTACCTAGTAAAAAAAAAATCTGGGAGGGGAAGACCCCCAGGGTTTCTGGCCAAAACAGAAACGATTGCTATTTATGCTCACTCTGAGCCATCAGGATCCAGATAATGACCATGTGAGGCTTGGTCTGGGACATGATGTTGGCCAATCCTTGAGAGCCAGAGTGATTTGGGTTTATGGCATGGTCCATAAAAAAGAAATCTAGCCCATGAACCCCAAGATAGCTTGCTAGGTTTCAGTGATCAAAATTTGTATTCCTTTGGGCAGAGCACCCGCAAATAAGGGTATGACTCCCTGTGTGGACAGAGGGAGAGACGAAGGGAAGGAAGGAGGAGCTGCTTTGCCCAACTGGAACTGGTCAGTTGGGTCCCCAGAGGGACAGCTACAACTCCTCACGGGTTGTTGTTTGTCCTTCATTCTGGAAGAGAACCATACATCAGGGAGGTGATGCCATGACATTCAAGTGATTGGATTACAGTGAGGCAGGGCTGTGCAAAGTCACCAGCCTCACTTTGTCCTCCAGAGGCATCTGGGTCCAGGGGCCAGATACAGATTAGGATGACTGGAGGTGTCCGCCTCCCCCTCCAAGCTCTGTCATTCTGTGTTCTGAGGACCCTCCCAGCTCTGACATCCTGTGTTCTAAGGGCCCTCTCAGCCCTGACACTGTGTTCTAAGGGCCCTTCCAGCCCTGACACTCTGTGTTCTAAGGGCCTTCCCAACTCTGACATCCTGTGTTCGAAGGGCCCTCCCAACTCTGACATTCAGTGTTCTAAGGACCCTCCCAGCTCTAACATCCTGTGTTTTAAGGGCCCTCCCAGCCCTGACATCCTGTGTTCTAGGGGCTCTCCCAACCCTGACATCCTGTGTTCTAAGGGCCCTCCCAGCCCTGACACTCTTGTGTTCTAAGGGCCCTCCCAACTCTGACATTCAGTGTTCTAAGGACCCTCCCAGCTCTAACATCCTGTGTTTTAAGGGCCCTCCCAGCCCTGACACTCTCTGTTCTAAGAGCCCTCCCAGCCCTACCATCCTGTGTTCTAAGAGTCCTCCCAGCCCTGACACTCCGTGATCTAAGGGCCCTCCCAACTCTGACATTCAGTGTTCTAAGGGCCCTCCCAGCTCTAACATCCTGTGTTCTAAGGGCTCTCCCAGCCCTGACACTGTGTTCTAAGGGCCCTCACAGTAGTGATGTTGTTCTGTGTTCTTTATTCTAAGCTTCTTTGCCCTTTATCATCCTGACGCTGGTGAACTCTCCGTACAAGAGAGGCTTCTATTGCAGCGATGACACCATTCGATACCCGTACCGCCCTGACACCATCACCCATGGCCTCCTGGCTGGTGTTACCATCACTGTCAGCGTCATCATTGTAAGGATGCTGTGCCCTCTGGGAGCAGCCAGTCTGAAAGGGAAGCTGGCCCAGAGTGGGGGTTGGTGGGACAGTAGGAGAGGGGAGTCTTTTTCTCTGATGAGAGCTGATACTGCCCTTTCTGAGCCAGGAATTCCACCACCTAGAGTTGGGGATATATTTAGGGGCAGCTGGCAAAAGGTGCCCAGCTTATGGTATAGGCAGAAGAAGGGAACAGCAGGGGGGAGCGGGAGAGACCAGTGCTAGATACTGCTAAGCACTGGGGATAGAAAGAAAGTAAAAAACAGGCCCTGCCTTCAGTCTGACGGAGGAGACGGTGTGGGAATAGTTAGGAACAAGTACATGGCCAGTCACATAGCTAGTGACTGTTTGAGGCTGAATTTGAACCCTGTCCTTCCCAGGCCCTTCCTGAGCTGTCATGTGCCTAGAAAGATAAATCCCTTTTGTCGTGTCTGCCTCTCTCCTGGGTCCTGGCTGAGCCCTGTCTGTGCCCTCTAACCAGCTTCCACTTGGCAGGTCTCATCTGGTGAGGCCTACCTCGTCTACACAGAGCGTCTCTACTCCCGATCAGACTTCAACAACTATGTGGCTGCCCTCTACAAGGTCTTGGGCACCTACCTCTTTGGGGCAAGTGTGAGCCAGTCTTTGACTGATCTAGCCAAGTACATGATTGGCCGCCTTCGCCCCAACTTCCTGGCGGTCTGTGACCCAGACTGGTCTCGGGTCAACTGCTCTGGCTATGTCCAGCCTGAGGCTGTGTGCCGGGGAAGCCCTGCAAATGTCACTGAGTCCAGGTAAGCAAGGGGGCCAGGGCCCACAGGGCACACTGCCCAAGAGATGCGTTTCCTCCATTGAGACCTGACTTGCCTAAGGCAGAAAGAATGAAACTCTGTTCTAAGGGCCTTCCTAGCTCTGACACCCTGTGTCCTAAGGGCCCTCCCAGCTCTGATACCCTGTGTCCTAAGGGCCCTCCTGGCTCTGACATCCTGGGTTCTAAGGGCCCTCCCGGCTCTGACACCCTGGGTTCTAAGGGCCCTCCCGGCTCTGACACCCTGTGTTTTAAGGGCCCTCCCAGCTCTGATATTCTCTGTTCTAAGGGCCCTCCCAGCTCTGACACCCTGTGTCCTAAGGGCCCTTCCAGCTCTGACACCCTGTGTTCTAAGGGCCCTCCCAGCTCTGACATCCTGTGTCCTAAGGGCCCTCCCAGCTCTGACACCCTGTGTTCTAAGGGCCCTCCCAGCTCTGACATCCTGGGTTCTAAGGGCCCTCCCAGCTCTGACATCCTGGGTTCTAAGGGCCCTCCCAGCTCTGACATCCTGGGTTCTAAGGGCCCTCCCAGCTCTGATGTTCTGTATCCTAAGATCTCATCAAGTGCATCTTTTTGAGGGCTGGGGGGAGTGGTGGGAGGGGTCAGCCTTGGCAGGGAGGGGAGACTGTTGACCCTCTAGGACATGCTTTTGCTCCTACCCTAGGTTGTCCTTCTATTCTGGCCACTCCTCCTTTGGCATGTACTGCATGGTCTTCCTTGTGGTGAGTGAGCCCTGATGGGCACTCCAGGATTCCTGAGTCTCCCAGTTAGACCAGCAGCAGAAGGGTGGGGAGGAAGGGGAGAAGGGAGGGAGGATGAGGTGGGAGAGGGCAGAGAGGGCCTTCCCCCAGTCCAGTCCCGTGAATGCTTCAATCTCCTCTGCAGTTGTATGTGCAGGCCCGTCTCTGCTGGCGGTGGGCACGGCTCCTGAGACCCACTGTCCAGTTCTTCTTGGTGGCCTTTGCCCTCTACGTGGGATATACTCGAGTGGCTGACTACAAGCACCATTGGAGTGACGTGCTGACCGGTCTCCTGCAGGGGGCACTCGTCGCTGGGCTTACGGTAGGGACCACATCCACCCCCCGGGGCTATCCCTGGGCTCCCCCGTCTTTGGGGTTTTCCAGCCCTTCTGTTCTCCTGTCTGCCTCTCCTGCCTCTTTCCCCTTCTCTCCCAACAACCTTTGCTTTTCTGGCTCCTGGTGCTTTGCACACAGTAAATTAAATTCTTTTTCATTAACTCATTCATTCAGTCCTCTCACCGGCCTGTTCCCCTTTCAGGTACGATATATCTCGGACTTCTTCAAGGTTCGCCCCCCTCAGCCCAGCCCAAATGAGGAGTCGGAGCGGAAGCCCAGCCTAGCGCTGGCCCTGACCCTCACTGAGGGCGACCGAAATCATTTCAGCTATGTGGGAGCCTCCTGAGCTGCCCCCCACCCCTCCCTCTCCTCCTGGATGGACATCCCCTGACCCTGGTCCTGGCCCAGCGCTCCCCAGCCTGGGCCAGACTGGTCCTCTTTGTTTCATGTCCCTGGGCTTGGTCCTTCCAGTCAGGGGGAGGCTGCTTTAGGGAACCGTGGATGGGGGGGGTCTTGTCCCCCATTTCCCATTTGGGACTGTAGGAGCTAAAGGAAGATCCTGCAATGGAGGCAGGAAGCCAGGCTAGCGTCCTCTGTCTCTAGAAATGCCAGCATCCTCCACTTTTCTGGAGAGGAGCTGGGGGTGGGGTCTGTATCTTTGCTGTTTTTGTAATGTAATTTACATTGGAGTTTTTATTGAATTAGAACAACTCTGGGGGGAATGGGGGACTGGTTCCTCTTCCTCAGTCCTGGGCTGGCCTCTGAAAGTTGGGGAAAGAGGACGGAATGGTTCCTATGCTCTCATTCTAGTCCTGTTCCTTTTGCCCCACCTCATTCTGAAGACTTTGGATTCAGCAGCTTCCCAGAAACTGGGGAAGGATTTGGCTGGAAGTTCCCATTGCTGCCTTCTCAAAGCCCAGGGAGGGCAGCCCGAGGGAGAAGGAAAGCCTTGGCCTTGGAGTCCCCTCTGTCCCCTAGCCTGCCCTTTGGTGATTCAGCCCAGGAGGACCCCCAGGAGGAATAGCTGCTACCCTGGACTGCCCTAAAATTCTTACCCAGTTTGGAAGGGCAGAGAGAATGTCTGAGCTGGAAGAGAACTTAAGAGATCATCTAGTTGAACCCCTTTGTAGATGGGAAACTGAGGCCCAGGAAGAGGCAGGGACCTTTGGGAGGTCACCAAATGAGTCATTGTGTTGGATACAGAACAGGAATTCCTAGTCTCCCCAGATCCTAGCCCAGGGCATCCATCCTCTCTAACCTGCTCAGCTGGAGAGCACCCCTCCTCCTATGCCTTCTCATAGACTATTTCAGGATTCTTTCTGCTTGGAAAGTTAGGCTTCCCTGACCCTGAGCCTTAGGCCTGGAGCTGGAGGAACCTGTCTGGGCTCTTCAGAGTAATGGGGGAGGGGACAATGTGAGCATCCTGGCCCCCTGCCCCATCCTTGGGCTCTTGGGGCTAGGAATCAAGGCCAGAATAAGCTTTCGAGCCTGGTGATTTGGGGAGGGGCACTCATGCACTGGCAGTTCCCCCCTTTCTAACCAGGTCCACCTGTCTCTGGATGGGCGTAAGTGCATGGGGCTGTGGAAAAATTCTGTGCTGGCATCCTGGAGATTCCATACTTGGGCCACTAATGTGGAAAATCTCCTTACCCATTCTTCAACCCATTTCCCCATTTATGAACTCAGGCCCAGAGGAGATGGTCTACAAGGCCCTTGAAAAAGACCTAGATTTGGAGGACCCAGGTTCCAGCTCTGCTGGGTGACCTTAGGCAAGTAATTCTTTAGGTTCAGTTTCCAGTAGGATTCTGTGATTACCACTTCAGCCAAGCAACTGTCTCTTACAAGGGTATATCAAGCATGTCCGCCGTGCTCCTGGGATCAGGAGAGGAAGGGGAGGGGAGAGGGGGACAGCAGGAAGAAAAGGAGCCAATTATACCCAGAGTCTGGAAGACCTGAGTTTAAATCTGACCTCAGATGTTTACAAGCTGTGTGACCCTGGGCAAGGCAGTTCACCTCTGCCTCAGTTTCCTTATCTGTAAAATGGAGATCTTAAGAGCACCTATCTTCTGGGATTATGGGAGGATACGTTAATATTGTAGAACGCTTTGCAAACTTGGAAGTACAAACTATGATTGTGGAAGGAGGGTCTGTTATTTGGAACCAAGATCAAAAGGTCCACGCCCCCCTCCACTCTGTCAATCTAGCTTGAAAGCTTCCCTGTCTGAATTGTTCCTGAGGCTTTGGTACTATTTCCAGGAGGCCCCTGGTAAGTGGCACAATTGTTTCTGGTAGGCGAACATTTCTGTTCTCACACATTAACCTTTATCAGGCACCCAGAGCCCTGGAGCTAGAAAATGGCTTTGATTGTACTGGAGAGGGGAGGTGGGGCTGGGTTGCTTTGTACATCCTGGGGGTAGCTTAAGGACAAGGGGAGAAGTAACAAAGAGACTTAATTGGCAGCAAAGACCAACCTGACTTAGAATCCTAGCCTGTCACAGCCAGGAGGAACCTCAGAATGGGAGATATCAGAGAAGGGAAGTCACTTGCCTAGGATCACTCAGCAAATCAGAAGCATGGCCAGTACTAAGTACCAGCTTCCTCTTTCCCAGCCCCAGGCTCTTAAAAATGCCTCTGAAGCTGCAGATTGAGGTCTGAAGGAAAGATCAGAGGGGCTTTCCTGGTCCAAAAGCAGGGCCATACCTCATTTGACACCTATACTATATACTATAGGCCAGCCAATCTAGCCTTCTTGCTGTTACCTGTATAACACACAACCCCACTCACCTAGCCCAGGTGAACTGTGTCCTCAGATACTGAAAGAACTGGCCAGAAGGGATTGTTCAGCTATTGTCTGTAATATTTGAACAAGACAACGTTGTGAGGAGAAATGCAAATGTCCCAATTTTCAAAAATGGGAAAGAGCCTTCAAGCTATAGGCCAGTGAACTTGACTTTGAGTCCTAGGGAGATTCTGAAATGGATAGTAAATAGATGGTTAGTGAATATCTGAGCCTAAAGGGCTTCGTCAAATATAGCTCATGTCAAAATAACCTTCTTTCCTTTTTTGGACAAAGTATCTTAAGTTGGTCAGTGAGGGAATTCCATAGAAATGATTTACCCAGATTTTGGCAGACAGTTTGATAAAGTCCCAAGTACAGTTCTTTTGTAGTAGATGGAGAGATGTGGACCAGATGACCACATAATTAGAGTCAAAATTGGTTGTTATGATTTATCATCGACCTGACCAGAGGTGCCCAGTAGAGTGAGTGCCTCAGGGATCCATGCTTGGTCATGTGCCTACAACGTCTTTATTAATGATGGTTAAAAGTGTTGGTGGCCTGTTCATCAAATTTTCAGTTGACAAAAGACAGGAAGGGTAGCAGCTAACCCATTGGTTGAAGGCACGGGGCCCAGAGCTAATTCAATGAAATTAATTAGGGATGAATGTAATGTCTTATATTTGGGTTCAAAAAGTCAATTTCCCAACCATGGGACCGTGGAGACGTTACACAAAAGGTCTGAAAAAAACCTCCAGAAGGTTTTAGTGGATTACAAATGTAACGAGTCAGCAATGGGATATGGCAGCTAAAAGAAAGCTTTTTCGATCCTGGGCTACATTGAGAAGGCATAGTTTTCAGGAATAAGGTGATAATAGCCCCTCTGTACTCTGCATTAGAGCACATGTGGAGTGCCATGTTCAGTTTTAGGCACTTCGGTTTAAAAATAGTGATAAGCTGAAGAGTTGTCTAGAGAAAGGCAACCAGGGTAGTGAAGGGCCTGGAGCCCATATTCCATGAGCATGACTTTGAAGCAATTGAGGATGGAGAGAGGACAGTGACCATTGAAGGCCTGTCTTGTGGAAGAGAGATTAGATTTGGAACCAGGAGCTACGTGGATGGTGTGAAAAAGCAGATTGAAGCAAAGTGTTGGGAAGACCTTCCTAATACATGGAGCCGTACCAAAGTAGAGTGGGCTGCCCCTGGCTGGAGGGCTTTAAGTAGAGACTGGCTGGTTCCTTTCCAGGTGGGTTATAGTGGGGATTCCTTTTGGATGTGGATTGGACTATTCCACCTCAAACTTCAATGCCAACAAAGGCTGACCCAGATTCCCCAGAATGAATGACCTCCTCCCTTAAGAGTCTTTGATGGCGCCCATGATTTGGCTGGCCTTTCTCTACCAGTCTGCATCTTCTCCATGGCTTAGTCTTAGAGGATTACCTGGGTGAGTGTCTGAGAGTTTAAGTGACTTGACCAGGGTCTCGCCATCAGGTATGTGTTGGAGGCAGTTCTTGAACCCAGGTCTTACTGAACCTCTATCTGTTTCCTTAACTGTAAAATAGGGATAATAATTCCACCTACATCTTCCCAGGGTGGTTGTGAGGACAGAATGAAATAATTATTGTAAAGTGCTTAGAGCTCTATAAATCAGCTGTTCTGAATATGCTTTTGTATGTAATTCTCTGTGGAATACAAGCTCTTTGTGGAAAAGGATTTTCTTTTTTTCTTATCTGTGTTTGCTTTTGAGTTTTCAGCACCTAGACAGCGACTGACACACAGTAGGCACCTAAATGCTTGTCACTGGGTTGGGAGAAAGGAGGCCCATTGACCAGGGAAGAAAGTGTTAACCTGCCCCCTGCTAGGGAAGAGAGGTATTTGAACTGAGGGGCCGGCAGAACAGGGACTGGGGCCCCTGGATGTCTGAGACTGATCCCAGCTCCAGGCTGTGGTCCCTCAGCCTGGGGTTCCTAGGAGTCCTCCATCATCCCAACCCATTAGATGATGGGGATGGTCCTTGCCAGAGGTAGAGCATGTTTGCTGGACAGCCACAGAGCCAGGAGGGGGCAGCAAAAGCCCAGATTTCCCATCCTCGGGAGTGTGGGCAGGGCAGGGCCAGCCGGGCAGGGCTGGGCCAAGCCGGGAGCTGCCTCTTAGCTCAGCCTTCCGCTTCCTGTACTTACAAACAATCCTGAGGGATTGCCTAAAACCGGCTCTGGGCAGTCCTCAATCATGTGATATTGCCTCGCCCCAAGTGGGAGGCCCATGGGCACCCCAAGCCCCTGCTCTTGGCGTCAGAGCCCACCTCCTCCAGCAGGTCCCCTCAGATTATCTGTTTATCTGCCCCCTCCCCATAACACATAATGTTAGCTCTTTCCCTGCTCCATGGCAACATCTCTGTCTAGGATAGGGGGCTGGCCTCGGGGTTCAGCTGCATTTCCCCCAAAAGTGGAAGCCTCCCAAGGTCAGGGCTCTGTCTTCCCCCCATAGAGGGGGCTTCCCAAAGGCAAGGGAGTAGGGAACGAACACTGCTCTCTGATTCCCTTTCCCAGCTCTGTGACTAGATTCTCAGTGCCCCAATTTCCTCGCTTGTATAATAGTGCTAATGGTGCTAACACACATTAATAACCACTCCCAGAGTAAGGACTTTGTAGAACTAAGCTGTAGGATTCAAGATTGAGAGCTGGAAGACCATCAAGTTCTCATTTTATCGATGCTGAAAGTGAGGCATACATGGGTCAAGTGACTAGCCCAGGGTCACACAGCTGACCCACTCCCCAAAGCCTTCCTTTCTAGAAGGCTGGGACCTGAACTTTCTATCAGAAGCTCTGCTTGGTTTGGACTCTAAGGAACATCAGGGCCTCAGTCCAGGTCCCTTTCCTCTTCCTTAGACTGTAAACTCCTTGAGGGCAAAGACTGTCTTTTTCTTTATTTGTATGCTCAGTGCCTGGCTCATAGTAGGCTCTTAAAGAATGTTTATTGAATTGAAAAAAAAAATAGTATTTAAGGGTGGGATTTGAACCCAGGCCTTCCTAACTCCAAATCCAGCATCCTATCAAATACACCACACTTGCCTCTTGAAACAATGTTCTTTGCATGGGGAAATCAAAGCCTGTTTTGTCTTAGAGCTGAAGGAGAATTGTTACTGTTGTTGTCTTTTTGCCCCATCTCCTCTACAACTTGGGGTTCCCTGAGTGCAATCAATCAATAATAAGTCTGCCAGGACCCGGGCCCAGTCCTAGGCATGGGGTGGGGGGCGGAGGGAATCCAAGTACAAAGAATGAAATCATCCCTACCTGCCATGAGTTTACATTCCAATGGGACAGAGACCGTCTATCTCTCCCTCTTTCCCACACTAGGTCCCTTTTGGGGTGCCACCCTTGAGGGTTTGGGGAGCAGAGAAGCAACAGGGGGAGGGTATGGAGAGGTCGTTATGCTTTCCCTCTGGGAAAAGCTGGAGCTCATCTTTGTGTCCTGAGGCCTCGGTTGCCCCATCTGTAAAATGAGGAGATTGGACCTAGTGACATGGGGAGCCCCTTCCAGATCTAGGATCCCTGGCTTTTCCTCCTCACCCATGCTCTGCTCCCCTGAGCTTGGGACACTTGGCCATCCCCATTCCCTGCTTCCACATGGGGGTAGACAGGAAGGGGTTAAGCCTTCCCGTGTTAGTGGGGCAAATTTAATTTCCTTATCCTCTTCTCCCCACCTCCATCTCTGGGCCCTGGGGGCTTCTCCCCTTTGGTGTTCCTCTTTGCAAGGCCTGGCATCCTTTCCCTCGGCCCAGGGTGGGGGCCTCCTCCCAGCATGGCTGAGGCTTGGAAGGGTCACCCATCCAGGCCCTGTTTCCAGTGGGAATCCCAGCCCCGGCCAGACTGCTGGCCCGCAGCCATTCCCAGAGCCTGCCGGGCTCGGTGGCTGCTAGGCCAGCCCTGAGGTCAGCGGCTTCCTGAAGACCAATGATTGATGCCTTAGCCGCTCCCCAGGGGCGCTGGGGGAAGTTTTCCTTCCTCTTCCCGCCCTTGGCTCTCCAGGCAACCTGACCACAGAGGCCTAAGGCTCCAGAGGGATCAGACTTGGTGGAAGAGGAAGTCTGGGACCTGCCTAGGCTGGGACTTCTGTGGCCTGAGGGCAACTGGTGGCTTCCAGGGCTCCTGGGAAATCAGCCTTCTGAGACAATCGGGGGTAAGGTGGGGATCAGGGAGCGGTCTGGAGATGCAGTGTGGTGTCTGGGTGGCTCAGCCAGGGTGATGAGGGTTCAGTGAAGGGTCTGAAGGAATAGTGAGGAAATTAGGGAATCTGTGAAAAGGAGGGGACCCCATGAGAGGGCCAGGAATTCAGGAGGATGGGGGCTCAGTGAGACAGGGGCCCAACAAAATAGAGGAGGGTCAGTGGAATGGACCCTCAGCCCGGGAAAGAAGCCCCGTGGAGGGGAGGGGGATGAGATGAGAGGCCACTGTGGGATGACAAGTCAGTGAGGGGATTAGGGCTCAGGAAGGATGGGGGTCAGTGAAGGGATGACAGGTCTAGGGAGATTGTGGCTCTGTCAGGGGCCAAACACCAGGACTCTCCCAACCCGGCTTTCTGGACCCTGCCAGAGATCGGGCCCTGGATCCTTCCCCTTCCCTAGATTATGAGAAAGTAAAATTAATTAAAAATTAATATTGAATCATCTGACTGGGGCTAAGCTTATTGGAAAGGGTGTGACTGTCTGCTGATCCACACTGATGATATACTAACTCCTCTTCTCCAGCACTCCCCCCTCTTCTCGGTCCACTTGAGCCCTCTCCCCATCCCTCCTTGGGCCGTCCCAGAACCCCTGTTCTGTTGTTAACAACTACCCTGAGGTTAGCCCTCTTCCTCCCACACTCCCTCCCTCTTCCTGCATGCTTGGCTCCCACCAGAAGACACAGCATTGGGGACCACCCTCTCCAGTGCCAGGTGGACTTCTCAGGCCTCTCTCTCCCCAACTGGGTCAGGCGAAGGAGGAGGCATATCCGTTGGTCCTCATTACCACTTCCAATTAATCAATCAGTTGAGCATTCAGTAACCTCATTTCCCTTGAGATTTACTCCATCCATCTAGGATGACCAGATCTTGTGACTCTTAGCTACTGGCCCTCAGGTCTCAATCAATCAATAAACATTTATTAAGTGCCTACTATGTGCCTGGGCAGCAAGTGGTGAAATGGATAGAGCACTGGCCTTGGAGTCAAGAGGACCTGAGTTCAAATCCAGCCTCAGACCAGACACTTAATACTTACTAGCTGTGTGACCCTGGCCAAGTCACTTAACCCCAATTGCCTCACCAAAAAAAAAAGAAAAAAAAAACTTCCCTCGATTATTCCATCTCCTCAAGCTATAATCCTCTCTCTCTCTCTCTCTCTCTCTCTCCTTTCTCAGTCAAACTTCTAGAAAAAGCTTCCTGTATTCTGCCTCCATTTACTCTCCACTCACTTCTTAAGCCCTTCTAAGAGGCAGCTAGGTAGTGTAAGTAGATGGAGCACTGGGTCTGGAATTAGGAAGACCCGAGTTCAAATCCAGCCTCAGACTCTTACTAGCTGTGTGACCCTGGGGAAATCACCATCTTTGCCTCTCTTTCCTCCAGGGGATGATAATAGCACCTGCCTCTCAGCGTTGTTCTGAGGATCTGATGAGATGAGAAGTGCCTAGGCAAGTGTCCCCTGACACATACTAGGTGTTTAATAAATGCTTGTTTCTTTGTTTGTCCTTTGCCATCTGACTTTCAGTTCCACCCCTTTGCTGAAACATCTTTCTCTGAGGCTACCAGCAATCGCTTCACTTTTCTCAGTCCCTTTGCAGCATCTGTCACTGGCCACCCCTTCCTCCTCGATAGTCTTTCTTTTCTGGGTTTTCATGGAAATGCTCTCTTGGTTCCTCCTCCATTTCTGTGACCGCTGTGCACACGCCTTGGCTGGATCATCCTTCCTATCCCCCTCCTCTGCATAGGCATACCCCCGGACTGCAGCCTTGACCCTCTTTTCTCTTCCTCCTACACTCTCTCAGTTGGTGACCTCATCAGCTTCCATGCCCTAAATTATCACCTATACCCATCTGCAGAGATAACTCCTCGACCTCCCTTTCTGTCCAGGTAGACACCTACATATATATCTACCTAGTCCTTATATATGATACAATAGACATGTATTAAGTACCTACTGTGTGCCAGGCACTGTGCTAAGCACTGGGGTTACAAATAAGGAAAAGAAAGATGGTCCCTGCCCACAAGGAATTTATAATCTAAGGGGAGAGGACAATGCACAAAAGGCAGCTGGAAGGGGGAGTGTCAGAGGACATAATGAGGATGATGATGATGGTGAAGGTGAGGATGATGATGGTGATGGTGATGATGACGATGATGATAACGGAGTTGAAACCAGAGGAGCCAAGGGCATATATCTCCCAAATTCTAGTCTCAACACCATAAGCCAGCTTTCGGTTAGATATTACCACCTGGATGTCCCAAAGGCATCTCAACCTTTTTGTTGTTCATCTGGTTTTTCAGTCGTGTCTGACTCTTCATGACTCCATTTGAGATTTTCTTGACAAAGATACCACAGTGGCTGGCCATTTCCTTCTCCAGCTCATTTTACAGATGAGGAAACTGAGGCAAATAGAGGGTTAAGTGACTTGTCCAGGGTCACACAGGCTAGGCCAGATTTGAACTCAGGAAGCTGAGTCTTCCAGACTGCAGGCCCAGTGCTCCATACACTGGTGCCACCTTGCTGACCTCAACAGACCCAAAGCAGACCTCATTATCTTTTCCCCAAAACTCAGCCCTCTTCTTAACTTCTCTATTTCAGTTGGCTTCACCATCCTAACAGCCACTCGTGACTACAACAACCTGATTCATCCTCAACTCTACCAACTCCCTATGTCCAGTCACTGGCCAAGTCTTGCCCTCTCTCCTTCCCCAACACCTTGGGCACCTTCCTGTTCTCTGTTTCCCTGGCTACTACTCCCAGTTCAAGCTCCCGTTCCTTCTAACCTGGATTGCTGTCATATTCTTCTAACTGGTCCCCATGCTTCCGGCCTCTCCCCTCTCTGAACCAGCCTCCATGTAATTTCCAGATTGATATTTCTCACGCTCAAGTCACTCCCCTGACCGAGAGGCTCCTGGCTGCCGACCGTGCCCAGAACAAAACACAACCCCCTCTGTTTGGCATTTAAGGCTCTTTCCAAATCAGGCTCTGACCCATCTTTTTAGAATTATTTCACATTATTGCCCTTCACAGGCCTACCTGCTGTTCCCCAGTATATAACATAGCATCTCCCAAAGAGATCAAAGATCCCATGACCCCAAAGAGATCGAAGAAAGAGGGAAAATCCCATATGTACAAAAATATATGTAGCAACATTTTTTTTTAAGCTGGAATATGGTTGGAAACTAAAGAAATGCCTATGAGTTGGGCAACGCTGAACACAATATGGTACGGGAATGAAATGGGATGCTTTTGTGCTCTAAGAAATAACAAAAGGGATGGGAAGGGGTGTGCTGGAGCCAGGTCTAACTGGAAAGCCAACTGTCAGATTTTCATTGTGAGCTTTTACATGTTAGAAATCAGCAAACTACAAATCAGACCTTGGTCCCTGTT